AGTGCATGCCCATCGTATCAGCCACTAAAATGGAAGAAACACTACCTACTCCACCTACTAAGAATGGGTCCGTTAACTTGACCCCCCACCTTGAGACTCGATAGTCGTATTATTATTTATATAAATATTATATAAATTAATGCGCTCACATGCGCCACCAATAATAACTCTTGCACCATTGCCGGTTTTTTAGAAATCCGAAACTACATTTGGCAGGGGCCAAGTGTACGTAGCTCTCCCCCCTCCAAGTTCGTAGTTTGTCGCTGGTGCCCTGGCCACCTGATACATTTAGTTATGCGCTCAATTGCGCCACTTGAATTAAAGCTAGGGCCATCACGGTATTAAGCCATAACAAATTCTCAAAAAGTAGGGAAACCAAATTAACGTTTTTAAAAGTTACTTTTTAGTAGCTTAAAATTCCGGCTACTTTCGGAGATATCCGAAAAAAATCGAAATTTTGCAGAATGGTTTTTATTTTTTACCAAAGTTATTTCAAAATGTATTTCAAAATAAATGACATATTATTATGACCACTTTTTGCCCTCTACAAAATGCTATTTTTAAATTTTGACGTTTCGTCTCCGGTTAATCATCATCCACATTGTTTTTTCTCATGGAAGTCATTTTTACTTTTTGTGTCATTTGATAAAGCATTTTTTTCTGATTTCAAAAATGGTAACATCACTATTTTTTAAATATTGTTAAAATATCTTCTTTTTTGCCTGGTAAACTTTGTCTTGGGTAGTGTATATTCGTAGTTTCTTGCGTTTTTTACAAATTAATAGCGCCATTTCTTATTAAAAATAGTGACACATTTTTGAAATCAGAAAAAAGTGGCCCTAATAATGTGTCATTTATTTTGAAAAACCTTTTTTAATAAACGTCAGTAAAAAATTAAAATTTCGTTTTTTTCGGGATATTTATAAAAGTAGTCGGAATTTTTTCAGTTTCAAAACCGAATTTTGTTAAGCATAAAAATAGGCAACTTTGCCAAATTTAAACTATCTCCCTAACTGTTACAGTTTCCGAGATCCCCATGGTTACCTTCGAATTTGAATCAGCCTGTATACTTAGTTATACAGGGTGTCAATTTTAAAACTTGCAGTTGGCCATGTATTCCAAACTAAAGAAGATATTGAAAATCGCGAGAAACCGTTTCGGGGGTATCGAGGGGGAACCAGATTGAGGTTATGAAATGACAACCCCCCGGCCCCCCCTCTTCAAAAATCCTAAATGGCAACCCCATACTTGTGACACATCGTTGGAAAGCTACTGAAAAATGCTTTCCAGTGGTACCAATAAAGTCAATATAGCTTAGAGACAATTTAACAAAAAATACCTCTGAAGTCGCAAGGTACGGTAAATATAATGAAGTGAAGGCTTGTAAGGTGAGTAGGCTCAAAAGCTCACCACCCAAGGCCAAAAGGAAAACACCTCTTGGTAAATATAATTAATTGATTAATTCCTGAAGGGCCTCGCTCTACTTGTAGTCTGCTTTTATACGGTACGGTACTTAATTGGGTAACCACTTCATAAGGAAGTGGTGGTCTTCAACAACATTCGCGTCATAACTTAATCGAGATGGCAACGATACTGAAAATGCAATCGCATATAACCCAGAAGAGGCAAAATAGTTATCAGCTAAGACGCTAAGAGTTTCGTTCGCAATCGAATCTCGATATTAAATCTCATTCATGACCCGGTCATCCATCCATCCAGGGTGTCTGCACTAAAAGGAAATGATGGGCTTAATCCAAGGTTACCAAACTCGCATGTCGAAGAAGAATTGTAGGCACAGTAAAACGTATTCGGAATATAATATAATATACAGTTGCTTAAGATTATAACCCTAAAAGAAATCAAAGGTAACCTCTCTTCTTTTGATAATAATAGATTAATGAAACAATTTTATTGTCGATGGAAATTGTAGCAGAATAAATAACAGCGGAACCTAAAGAAGATATACCCTAATACACGAAATACAAATGGCGGTACTTACGATAAAAAAGGAAAAAACGCAAAATAGATCCTCACTAGATGAATTCCGTTCAATTAATTACTTCGGAATCCCCAAATTATGAATCCAATCGCCAGAGATCAATATATATGGATGATGGCAATTAAAATTCAATGCGTTCTAACTCACGCTTTCAGCTGTTTGTGTAAGACGAAGTGTAACTCGATACGGTTTCCGAAAGAACCCGTAACCCGTACCCGTTACCCGCACACAAACCAAGTTTAGAGTGGCAAGTAAAATCATCCATTTCAAAAGCGGAAGTTCCGGTAGATAAATTAAATCGATTTCGGGTCCGCTTTACGGTGCGCTATGCGTGTTTAAACAATATTGCGCAACTCCAACTTCTTAGTAAAAACACAGACTGTCGGAATTTTCTAAGTATCCGTTAGAAACTACTTTGTGTGCAATGTATACGTTTCGAGCAATTAAATCATTTTAATTGCTCAACGAAGAGCAAACCTTGAGGTTTTGCAAGCAGAACCTTCCTATACAAGCCAGGGTGTAACTTCAATGAGCGAATGTCTAATTTCTCGAATCATAATTAGAGAGAGATTCAGTTTTTCCAAAGTTGGACGACTCGATGGTAGATTTAGACCCCGTATGTTTAAGGTAAATTGTATCTTTACTACAATACAGAATTTTGACTTGTTGAATTTTTGACGTTGAGACAGTAATTAGAAATATCGTTCAAGATTGGGTTAATTATTTATGTACTCGTCTGATTTGTTGTAAAAGAAATTTTCCATTGTGAACTATCGCGAAAGACGATACCTAAGTTTTAACTACAACTGCAGGATTTGATGTACTTAAAGTATACCAGAACATTAAAACATTCAACATTTCGAAACAAAGAGATAGAAGACTACGTTAAGGCAACGAAAAATTAAACTAAGAACAGCAAGTGCATCAGTCAGTAAAAACGGACTATTCTTTAATCCATGCCTCCATAATAACCGAAGCAAAATGGTACTTTAACCGGAGACATTTAACAAGCAATTTATAATTCCTCTAACGTGGCGTAAAAACGATTCGAGTAAATCCTAATTTTTATTTATTGTATTTTAGCGGCGTTGGGTTTGAATTACGGTTTACGCTTTTCAAATAAAATCAACCACTTTACGCTTGAAGCCCTCCATTAATTCCATTAATACTTCAAGCTCCCACAATGAAAGCAGGAAATTTTGAAAATGCGAGATTTGTTTAAGTTGTTTTATTGTGAAGGTGTTACTGGAAAAAGGTAGCCCTACACGGAAATTTTTTATTGAAAGAAACGGATGCTGACGAGCACTAAAGCACACACAGTAGATCAAGAAGCTGATAGCTAAGTAGTGTCTTCGATTTATTTAGCGCTTTTAAGTACAGTGCCTGAACTACCCTTAAAACAAGGGCGCGGTGCTTGAGACCTGAAATGGTACTTCAAAGTTTTTAGTTCAAGCACTCTTAGAATTTGAATATGTGGTTATTGAATTTAAACTAAACTAAGAGAATGAGTAGATAACAACAATAATCTTAATATAATGTGATGGACGCAAGTAGCGTCAGTAGAAGGCTTGGAAAACTCAGCAAGTATCCACTTGAGTTTTCTGCCATGATTCATTTTCACAATGAAAATATTTCGTCCATTCCTGGATGATCTGGGAGGGTGCCCCTAATGCTAGCGGCGTTTCCACGTTGGATGGCAAGCGATATTCTGTTTCAGTTTTTGTTACCCCAAAAGTTCCAGTGTTTCCAATAAAGCATAAATTTGCTATTAAGGTATGATGCCCATGGATGAATCCCATTGGAACTATTAACACATCTCCATATCGATGGATGATAGTTTTGACACAAATTCGGACTTAAAAATTCAAAAAATCCTTGGACCAGTTTGATTGGAAATCAAAATAAAATTAAGAGAAGAATTGGAATATTGAATAATATACAGGGTGTTCTATATCAAAAATGCAAATTTTGGTGTATTTATGAGCAACCCTGTATAATTAAAATTATTACCGCGTAGTAGACATTGGGCGCGTTCATAAGACACAACTGTTCTGGAACAGTTACTGATACGTCTTATAATTAGGTCGCTACTTTTACGCTCTTTACGGAGCAGTCGGCCATTTTTAGTAGCGCTACATACGTCAAAGTAGGGAACGTGACATAAGAACCCCAACTGTTACCGATACGCTACGAGGTAGCGTAGCGGTAACTGTTGTGTCTTATGAACGAGCCCATTGTATGAAACATATTCCGATATTTTGTATATTTTCGCGGATAATCGACCGCTTTACTTGTCGATTTAACGGAAGGGACGGGGACACAGAATTGTTAGGAGATAATAAATATGAACTCTGAAAGTTTAAGAACCGCCAGATTTGGGTGTACAATGTAAGTTGAAAAAAGTCTGGTTGTTCTGCTGACGCCCAGTTGTTTTCACTTCAGGACAATAGCATGTTACTGAATCATAAAAGCACAATTTTATCACGTCTCCTTTCCCGCATTTTCACTAATAACAGGCGACGAACTACAAGTCCTTCACGTTTCAGTGGATGCTATCGCCATTACGTTTAAAAGACAGGCGAAAAGAGAAAGTCGTTCCAAGTCAAATTATTCGTACCCTTCACGAAATTTTGCATTTTATCAGAAGTTTAAATAGCCACTTTATAAAGCACATCAGACGCTTCTGCCGTTCCTTGATGACAGTACGACAAACTTTAGAAAGCTCATGGAAAACTTAAACAAAAGCCTTCGGGACTTTGTAGAAAATCAAATTAACGTCTGTCGACATTTTGTTTCAGAAGTATGACAAGTTTAGTATACATTTAAGACTACAATCACAAACCGTAAAGTAAACAGTACTCCAATTACATAGCCGTCATGAGCACTACCAAAAGACGTATACTCAATAGAATTGCGTTTCCTTTCCAAGCACGAAGTGTACAATCCAATCCTCAACGCTGTAAATCGATCAAAATCTAATGCACTTTTTCTGTTTCAGATGTCATTCCCTATAATGAATCAGCCGTTACCGAAGGGATTTAATATGGAGCCTACAAGTAAGTTATCTTTCTCATTAGTCACTTAGGATTTATAGCCGTCCCGAATTCATTCCGCCTCGATACCTTCAATTCGTTACCAAATTGTGTTAGCTTAACTAAGATAAATTGTAACTTGTAACTTCCAAGCTTTACTTTCCAATTAATTTTTTCGCGCCAATAATTCAACAAAAGAGATCCGGAGAAATTAAATTTGCTGGTAAATGAGCGGTAAACTTGCTCTCAGCGACATCTAGTGTTGTACACGTGTTTTGGGTTGCCGCTCTACGCTTTTAGCGCGCCATCTGTGTTAGAATCGAATAAGCAGGTAAAATCTTTGTTTGAGAAGTAGTAGATCGCTTCTACATTTTCCCTGAAATCTGTTTCCTTCCATTCGCTTGCTAGTTTCCTTCACGAAACGAGGTTTCTTCTTGCACTCATCTAGAACTAGTGACCATTCAGCTTGCTTTTTTAAATGCAATATCATTACAGTCCCGCAAGTTATTGTATTGATCCACAACGAAATTTACAGGGTTCTTTAGTCATTCCACCCTGTGAGTGAAACAAAATCAACTAGAAACACCGCTGAAATCCTTGAGGGGAGTAAAAGAGAAGTATATCTCAAATGCTGAAGAAACCTAAATTCAAACTAAAGTTAAGAGAAAATAACAAGTATTCTCATCGTGTGAGATCCGGGAAGAAAGATAACGCTAAACTTCGGGATTTATATCTGTTTTCGTAAACTCGTGGGCAGGTCTGTACGTGTTGGAGAATTACGAGAGGACTGCCTCCAGTCTAATGTGCAAGCTGCAATTATCGTACCTTCCCGTGCAGATTTTATCGCGGAATCTAAACTAGAAACATGAATCCTACGTCCTAGGCCGCGGAACAAAACGCGGTGTTACTACAACTCAAATTTACAGATCATTCACCCAACAATTGGACATGTCAACTGCTACGTTAATGTTACATGTTTAATGAGCTGACCCTCGAAATGTTTCAGTTGAACGCTGCGATCATTCACTTTGATATACAATCATATTAACTGGTCCTGTCACAGGTGTTGAGTGGTTGAACGTTTGACACTAAAGTCCAAATTTTCATAGGCTCTAGGTTAAGAGGGTGTTTCAAGATAGGTTAATCGCTGTACAAAAGGCAATTTGTAAACAATTTCGCAGTCGTTCACCGACTACGTGTAAAATTACCAATTGTTTATGTTTTTTATGTATTTTGTGTAATTTATGTAGCTTACAACGTAACGATAAAGGGAGTAGAGATGGAAATAGGGCAAGATAAAGAAAGAACGGAAAAATGGCTAAAAACCCAACAACTAGAGGCGAATGTAAAAGAGGCGAGAACCTTTGAAGTACGGGGAATTAATAAGGTACTAATTGCGGAATAGAAAAGAGGAGGGAGGTTTTGATTGGAAAGGGAAAGTTAAAGGGGAGCGGAATAAACATGGATGACGAGTTAACATATGAACAAAGAAGGACAGAGGGGGTACAAACACAAACAACAGAAAACAAGATTCGAAGCATCAATCGCATATGATTTTCAGTAGGGGAATTTTTTGTCACTCCGCTCGTATTCGGAAACCGGACATTTGATCCGGCTCATGCTGAATAGCACTGATCCTTGAACTCGTAGAAATCGATTGGCGAAGCTTTGACTTCGGTGTCTCTTTTCGTTCTCGAATTAGAAGACGAACAGGCAGACAGACGGACAGACAGGCGGACAAAACCATCACATCACAATTTTTTTTCTTTCGAAAAATTCCCCTAAAAAGAGAAAACTAAATGAAAATGAAAAAAGAAGACACGAAAATGCTATTCTGAAATAAAGCTGGTAAAGACGCTCAATTCTGGAAGTTTGTAAGAGGATATGATGTAGGGATGGTAGAATCATGGGTAGAAAAAAGATTTGGGAGAAAATAAAGATCAGGATTCTGAATGAATATATATAGAAGAATAGCAGAAAAGCAGGTATATTCACAGGGTTATAAAAAGAGAAGGCAGGAACAGGTCAGAGTAGAAGTGGGGGGAAAGAAAATGAGAGTGACAACTATATACAACCGAGAAGGAATGAATGACTTAAACAATAAGGTATAGAATATGGAAGATGAAATGCGGGCGCAGGGGAGAGATTTTAATGCAATAACAGGAAGTCATTGGAATTATTAGAAAAAAGAGGTTGAGGAATTTTGAACGGAAATATAGAGGAAGATAGAGTTAAGGAACAAGGATTGAATCGAATCACCAACGATAGAATTAAGTCCAAAAGGAAGATAAGAAGATCAAGAAATGAAAAGATGCAAAGACGATGGGAGATATAGTTACAGACAGGAAACACGGTGAAGAAGTAGGAGGGAATACAAAGGAGGAGCGGAATAATATAAAAGAAGGTATTAACAAACCAATCACTTGGAAACAAATAACTGAGAGAGAAGAGGTGAAATGGAAGCGAAGAGATGAGAGAACGGAAAAAAATAAAAAGATGAAGAATGAGAAGGAATACGAAGAACAAATCAAGGAAATAAAAACAAAAGAGGATTTTTGGAAGAACAAGAAAAGCAGGAGAAAGAGGAGGGCATAGAAGATGAGGTAGAAGATGAGGTTGCATGAGATGATACAACAGGAGATGAGATCAAGCAGCAAGATATGTAATGAGGCTTGGATTTTCGCCACAGGTAGGGTCATGTCAAGGAAGACAAATCTACTAAACAAGGTGTGGAAAGGAGGGGGTTTACCCGTAGAATGGAAGGAAGGGATAACTGTGCCGATCTTCAAAAGAGGGAACAATGATTGTGTGGGAACTATAGAGGAATTACTATAATGACTACGGTGTATAGAATCTATGCATAGATATTGAACGAAAGACTAGAAAGAAAAATGGAAGAGAAGAGGATGTTGGAGGAAACATTTTGGTGGAAAATGATTGGAAAAAATAGCGGAGATTCACCATGTCCATATACCTACCCCTTGACATAAAAAAATACTTACCGGCAATAAATACAAGGTACCTGTCTATCAGCACCCCTCACCACTATCCTATAAGTTTTACACGATAATATTGTTTATTCTCTGGTACACACTGTGATATACACAGTGTGTAAGCAAAGATTTTCAAACGTATGTACATCGCATCCATCCAAATGAAAAAAAAAACCATTAAGTATATAAAAGAAAATCAAAACGAGAACAGAACTATCTGTGGTTTTGGAAAGGCCCTTTTTGATTTTGCAAAGTTTTACACTCAAGCGTGCACCACCTGAACAAGGGTTGGAAAAAGATATGCTGATCTCAAAAAAATTTCCTACCTGATGTTTTTGTTTTTTAATATAACTAATCCTTAATAATAAAATTAAAATAATAATAATAATACATAGCCGGGGGGGTCGGGTGTTATATCTGTGGCAGATATGGGAATTTCCTTAGATCAGTTTTGAGCATTCTGCCGGCTACTCGGAATTAGGTTTTTCTGCATCATTGGGTGAAAGCTTGTTGAGGGGCCAGAACAAGAGAGGGACAATGAATAAATAAATAAATAAATGAATAAATGAATACATGAATAAATGAATAAATGAATAAATGAATAAATGAATAAATGAATAAATGAATAAATGAATAAATGAATAAATGAATAAATGAATAAATGAATAAATGAATACTAAAATGAATAAATGAATAAATGAATAAATGAATAAATGAATAAATGAATAAATGAATAAATGAATAAATGAATAAATGAATAAATGAATAAATGAATAAGTGAATAAGTGAATAAATGAATAAATGAATAAGTGAATAAGTAAATAAATAAATAAAAACTATTTTTTTTAATTCATAAACAAACCATCAGTATTTCTTGTTTTGAACAAAAAAATTAAAATCAATTCACGAAATTTGGGAGTATACCTTTGTGTATTTAAGAAGAAAACCGAGCAACAGTTTCTTCATATGACTTTATGGGCATTTTATCATCGACACACAGCAGTCTAACACAGTATGAGTAGATCTTCCGATTCGTCTATCTTCAGCGGCGTGTTTCCAGATATTGAAAATACGAGCCACGACTTTACCTTTTAACAAGATGGCGCACTATCCTATACCTATCTCCCAAGGGTACGATAATGTATTTGCAAAAACAAGCACATTTCATCATACGTACGTAACATATGGCCTCCGCATGAGTACAATATTTGTAGTAGATTATAAAGCCATGATTCAACGAGATCTCGTTTGTCAGAACATCGACCACTCTATCATTTTATTAAGGATCCTCGACTCAACTTTGAATTGTATTCAGAAACAAGTTAAGAAAATATCTGACATTTGAAAGGATTTCTTACAATAGCTAAGAATATCCCCGCATTTAGACCAATAAAGTTTGTACACTTTCGCAATCAACTACTTTGTTACCGTCTCAGAATGCTGGTTGGATGTAGCTAAATAATAAATGAACAACGAGACCAAACAAGCTAATAAATCTTTCAGGAGGATTTTATTTACTTAGATCCGCAAAACGAGTTATGCGAAGCAAACGAAAAGAAAACGCGCGAGTGAAAGACAGTTCAGTTAAAAATTACTGACGTATTGTCGCAGAAATTCCTGACTTTGTCAGATGCAATCATATTTCTCTTCCATCCCACGCCGACTTCAATGCGGGCGACGATAAGTGAGTGAACTGCCAAATTGCGGCTCCCCTTCCAACAATCGCTTTCAGACGCGAAGTAATTAATAACATTTTTTTTTCGGCGCGGCGAATATTAAGGGCAGTGTTCTCCACCCACAATCGATTTCCAGCAATGCCAAAAAAGCTCCACTTTCCATTGTTAAAACGTTCACACGTCTCAAACCGCGAGCTTTTAAATTTTCTCATTATTATGTGCGGTATTCTTTCTTGAATTTGGACAATAATAGGTCTCCGGTAAGATCGCGACGAGCTCAAGTGTCGAGCGAAATAATTAAAATTTGAACGCAACAGGGGAGAGGAGGTGGCTGCTTCGACTGGTGTATATTTAA